TTTTTTTTTTTTTTTTTTGGGTCATGTGACATTTGATTGTTCAGATCCGTTGTGTAAATTTGAAGAGAAAAAATTCTCTTTATCTTTCATTTTGATTGGTAGACATTAGCAGTATGTTTGTTCATTGGTGCCAACTAGATCTATAGTACTTGATTACGATTCTCCTGTATGTTGTTTTTTTACGAAGGGGGGGGGGTTTGAATTTTGCCTGGACCTACTCTTGTCTAACTTTCCACCTTCAGTGGATCTTTACTGTGGCCAAAGTCGGCGCAGAACCTGTGAGACTTTTTTGTCCTTGTTTGAGGAGACTTAAAGTGATCGAACCTGGTACCTTTGAGTCTCAGGCAGGTGCTGCGACGTAGACGGTGCTGTAGATGTTGGATTTTTCCTGAGTAGTTAGTGAGCCAGAGGGCATGTGTAGGACTTCCCCGCACGCCGTTTTGACGAGTGACGCATGCCGGTGTCTCCGACAAAGCCGTGGGTGTGCACGTAGATGTGTGGGAGAGTTGGGTACAGGGTTGGGTTGATTTAAATCAGGTTGATTTAAATCAGTTGATTTTTTTTTATTTAAATCAACTTGATTTTTTAAATAAAAATCAGTGATTTAAATCACTTTTTAAAAAATTTATTTTTATTCATTTTTTACACATCTCAACATTCAGAATTCCTTTCCTTGGTTTCATAAAACAGATATAAGGTTTAGTAGACTAATACAATAATGCTTAAAAGTCTGCTTTCCCCCCTTTCACTGTAAAATAATACAGTATTCAATTTACTTTTTTTTCTTCATAAAATTGAAATCAGAGCTGGGTTAATTTAAATCAGTTGATTTTTTTTATTTTAATCAACTTGATTTTTAAAATAAAAATCAGTGATTTAAATCACTTTTCAAAAAATGTATTCTGTTTTTACATATTTCAACATTTAGAATTCCTTTCCTTGGTTTTATTAAACTTAAACAGATATAAGGTTTAGTAGACTAATATAATCATGCTTAAAAGTCTGTCACTGTAAAATAATACAGTTCTCAATTTCCTTTTTTTTTCATAATTGAAAACCAGGGTTGGGTTGATTTAAATCAGGTCGATTTAAATCAGTTGATTTTTTAAAATATATTTAAATCACTTTAAAAAAATGTATTCTGTTTTTACATCTTTAAACATTCAGAATTCCTTTCCTTGGTTTTATAAAACAGATATAAGGTTTAGTAGACTAAAATAATCATGCTTAAAAGTCTGCTTTCCCCCCTGTCACTGTAAAATAATACAGTATTCAATTTACTTTTTTTCATAATTGAAATTAGGATTTTCTTTTTCTTTTTAGACAAACACAAGCGCGCGCACACACACACACTGTAATAAAATGCAAGTTTATCTATGCATAATTACCCCTCCCCTTCCTTTTAGACTGACATTTTCTTCATTTTTTTGTCTGTAGCCATAATTCACTGGATATAGCAGATTAAGGCTTTCTAAAATTGCAGTTGCTTAAATTAATCATTAGTTAACTTTATGCACTAAAAGAACTTACTTTTAGCCACCAAAAATCCCAAACTGAGTCGACATTTTTTTTAAAATATAAAAAATCCGATTTAAATTGTAAAAAATCGATTTTTTTAATATTTAAAAAAATATTAAAAATTCGATTTTTTAAAATACTGCCGGCCATTACCACCCTTGCGCGCCGCGCAGACACACTGGCCGACTGGAGGTTTGTGTTGTGGTGGGCGTTGTTTCCTGTCGCTGTCTACAAGAGTTGTCGTGGAGAGAGAGAGGAAGTTCCACTCTCACCATCTCCTCTTGTTGCCCTCTCTGTTCTTTTATTGTCCTAGAATTGTATGTGGTATGTCAGGCTGGCTTGTGGCCAACACAAATACTTTGGGGGAGGGGGGGGGTGAAATGTAGGGCAAACCATATTATATCAGAATAAAACAGACCAAATGTTTGTCGTGTGCTGTGAATGAAATGTTTGTGTGTCCAGTTGGAAGAAGGGAAGGTGTACAGCCCACGGTGAGGGAAATGTTTCAGATTTCTGCTGTGTCCCGTAGTGAGAGGACGTGTTTGTGGGTGTTGTCTCGTTGTGAGAGGACATGTTTGTGGGTGTTGTCTCATGGTGAGAGGACGTGTTTGTGGATGTTGTCTCGTGGTGAGAGGACGTGTTTGTGGGTGTTGTCTCGTGGTGAGAGGACGTGTTTGTGGGTGTTGTCTCATGGTGAGAGGACATGTTTGTGGGTGTTGTCTCGTGGTGAAAGGACATGTTTGTGGGTGTTGTCTCGTGGTGAGAGGACGTGTTTGTGGGTGTTGTCTCCTGGTGAGAGGTGTTTGTGGGTGTTGTCTCGTGGTGAGAGGACGTGTTTGTGGGTGTTGTCTCGTGGTGAGAGGACGTGTTTGTGGGTGTTGTCTCGTGGTGAGAGGACGTGTTTGTGGGTGTTGTCTCGTGGTGAGAGGACGTGTTTGTGGGTGTTGTCTCGTGGTGAGAGGACGTGTTTGTGGGTGTTGTCTCGTGGTGAGAGGACGTGTTTGTGGGTGTTGTCTCGTGGTGAGAGGACGTGTTTGTGGGTGTTGCTGCGAGGTCCCTGTTCCTGAGTTGTCTGCTGGTTGTTGTTGTTGTTCTTGTCTGTTTTCACTGTTGTTGTTGTTCTTGTCTGTTGTTGTTGTTGTCACTTTTGTTGTTGTTCTTGTCTGTTGTTGTTGTTGTCTGTTTTCACTGCTGTTGTTATTGTCGTCGTCGCTATTGTCCGTGGTATGCTGACCGGGGAGATCCCTGCTCTTACCTCTATCTGCAAACTTTTGTCCATTGATTGCTCTGATTTTTGTTTGATCATAACAAATTTTTGACTTCTTCCTTTTTTTGTTTAGTTTCTTTGGTTTGTTTTTCAGACTTTTGAAAAATATTTATTCATTATTGGTGATTTTCTTTGAAAGTAGTGCCCATTATATTATACTCTGCTTTTCCTACTGATTACAAATAACAATTGACTTGAGTAGCCTTGTATTATTCCCCCTAGCTATCTTCCACTCTGATCATATCACCTTCCTTGATGAAACGATTGTTTGTGGAAACATTTCCGTCATCTCATTGGCTGCCCGGCCGCTCAGTTCCCACTGAGGCCAATCCATTCTTAATTCAAAGAAAATAAACTTGTAAATGCACATAGAACTTTCTCGTGTTATTGCTTTGTTTGCTTGCATCTATGATGAGGGGTTGCTGTTGGTGGGTGGTTTGTGGGTGCTTTGCTCCTTTTTTCATCCGTCTGTTGTCCGCACCTCTCGTCCTTGTGTTCTTTGTGTGATACTCTCGACTACTAAATAAACTATCAGAAACAATTAACACTGTCCGTACGCCCTGGGGTCATTTTGTACCCCTGGGTTGT